CCCCATTTAGCTAAGCAGCCAGGCTTGCAGAATGTCCACCTACACATGTAGATTCATCAACAAGAGCAAACGCAATGCCTAGCCATGTGTGAGGGGTCCACCTTGGCACACGCCGGCATCTGCATCCACCAAAGCAAGTGGCAGAGGTCTATTTTCAGGAGTTTTAGCAAAACTATATATTATTCCCTAAACGTAGGCTCCCCCAAAGTCAGGGACAGGGGTGGTAGCTCAGTAAGGGTTTAGAGCCCTAAACTGTTCTTACTTGCCGCTGCTTGCAACCGAAATACATACACCCTGTCCGCTTCCCTGCTCTGCATGCCCAGCGCCAGGGTGTGAGCACAAGCTAGCATGTTTAATCACATATATTTATATATATGTGCATATAAATATATATATATAGTGGAGCGTGCAAGAGAGCTTTAGGTTGAGTGCATAAGTTTATTGTGTGCTGATAATTCAGAGTGGTGATAACGGCATAACGTTGTTCTGACAACCTGGTTGGGGAGCAGCTGTGAATTTTGGGAGGATTCGGGACCCCTGTCTGTGAAATGACGGAGGAGGAGGCGGTGTGCTTGGCTCGGGGTGCATGCTCTCTCTGTACAGTGTATGTATTTCAACCCAGCGTGGTCCATTTATACATCACACATGACCCGACATAAAGTCCTTCTTGCGCATGAATTATATTCCCCAGCAGCTTATAAGAAAACATGGTTTTTTTAAGCATCTCTGCTAGAAAGTCGCTGGCGCAGAGCCCCGTAGAGAATAGTACGGCTGCAGCGCTCTCGGTTAACGCTAAAATACTTTGACCACAGGCGGGGACCAGACAGCAGCTGAGCTCAAAAGTGACAAACTCCCGTCCATCAATGACTTGGACAGCATTTTTGGCCCCGTGCCCTCCCCCAAGTCTGCTGCTGTTAATGCAGAAGACAAGTGGGTCAATTTTTCGGATCAATCTCCGGAAAACACGACTCCGGAGTTGGTGCCCCAGGAAAAAGCGGGGTCCCCATCGGCGGCAGCGGGCAGCCCGGCCAATGCTCCAGCAGCCGAGCCCTCCCGCCCGGTCCCCTCGCCGCTCCACCTGGAAGAGGTTCACAAGAAGTTTTCTGAGCAGCCTCACCTTAAGGATGATAACTTGGAGCCGGTTGCCTCTCCCAAAGATTTTGGGCTGGGACAAAGAGCGACCCCGCCTCCCCCTCCACCACCCACCTACCGGACGGTGGTCTCCTCACCTGGACCGGGCGCCAGCAGCGGCACAGGAAGCACCAGCGGTATGTCCTGCGGCGTTGGGTGTGCTTTGGTGTGGCCGTGACCGCATCCGCCATCCCCTCCTGCCTGGTTGCGCCTGTGCTCCCACCCAGCCGTCTCGTGCTTCCACGTCCAGCGTCTGCCCTCAGCCTCCTGTGTCCTCTTCCCCGCTCCTTGCTGCGTGTCTGATGGTCGGATGGGTCTGACAGCTTTCCCCCAGAGCTTCTGTGAGCTGCTCTTCCCTTCTCCGCTACACACACAACCCCCCAGTCGCAAGATTTGACAGAGGATTGCCATTGCAGCAGCTCCGTCCTCAGTAGGCTTCAGAGTGAACGTAGGTGGAAACAGTTCTAGTAAACAATCTGAGCAAGTCTCGGAACGAGGGGAGTTTATAAATCTGTTGCAGACAAACTGGTGACCCCACACCATCACTCAAGACCTGCCCAGACCAAGTAACGGGCAGCTCAGGGGTGGCAGGGGTCTGAATGGTACTTGGTTCCTCTCGGCTGTGAGTGTGTGCGTGCCCAGCCCGGTCTGGAGAAATACTTCGAGGGTGAACCTCTCCCAAGGATAGAACCCAATGGGCTTGTCTGGCACATGCTGGCTGCCTGGCTTCACCTACTTAATTATACATGTCCGTTAGGGCAAACGAGCCGTCAGAGCTCTGCTTACACAAGCTCTCCCCTAGCACCTGAGAGGGTGCAACATGAGGATGTTATTTGAGGGACTTATTGTCCTGGTGCAGCCATGACGTGCAATTCCTTGTCCCCACCAGCCTCTGTGCTCCAGTCCTGCATCCATGAGAATTATTTTGGAGAGCATTGCCCCTGCAGAGCCTTGCAGGCACCTCCACCCATGCTGGCAGTGGTGGGAGATGATGGGTGTGTTGGGTACTCCCCAGCCCCATGCCCCACTGCTGTCACCAGCCTCATGTGAGCTTGAAAGCTGTGCCATCTGCTTTTGGGGGTTTGCCACTTCTGAGGGGGTGTGGAGGGCTGCTGGGGGTGTCTCCCCAGGCCTGACTGTTGCTGGAAGTGTGGCTTTGCTTCAGTGGTGGTGGCTTTTCCATGTTGGCTCGGTGAGGTGGCTGGAGGGTGGGTGGGTGAGTGGAGGTCCACGCATGGGCTGCAGCATCTGGCTGCCAGTGGCACTGGTTGGAACTGAGACTTCTCCGGGAGATCGGCAGGGACAGGCAAGCTTTTTCCTGCACTGCTCTCCACCCTGATGCCAATGGATTAACTGCCTTGCCTGAGTAGAGATCTGTAGGATGGGGACATGTTGGTGGCTCCATATGTGGGGATGGATGGAGAAACCCCACTAATGTGTCTCTTCCCCTGGAATTATCTCTTGTTTCCACTCATCGTGCTGTACAGCCCACTGACACCTCGGCCTTATGCAGCCCGGCGCAGGACAACAAGCTGTGAAAACGCAGAGAATGAAGATCGGCACGTAAAAGCTGTGACCATCTTCAGAAAGCTGCAGTGCTTGGGGTGCAGATCCAGCACTCCTGCCCTCTCCACCTTTCCAAGGTCCCTGTCAACCCTAGGGGTCTCTGGCTGTGGGATGCTGTGGGGCAGAGCCAGTCCAGGACACCTTCCTGCCCTCACATCCCGAGGACACTGCTGTATTTTTTTGCTACAGAACATATCCAGAGGTACATGGGTCTTCCAGAGACCTTAAATACCTGGAGAATAAACTTCCTGGGATGAAAGCTGGTGTCCGGCAGGGCTTTGGTTGGCTGGTGGCCACTCCTGAGCCGGGGACAAGACCCTCGAGGTCTCCATCTTGTGATGCTCGTCCGGTGCTATTAGGCTACTTCCCTGGTTCCTGTTTTGTCAGGCTTTTATTGGCATAAGGAAGGAAAAATTCACACTCTACTTCCCAAGTTTGGCTTCTAAATAAAAATAGCTTGAATTTCAGAGATGAGCAATGGAATGGCAAGGATTTACTGTCTCTAAACAAGCCCATCTTTTGTCTTAGCCATCTGACATTTACACCTGAGTCCAAGTTTTATATATCTAGCTTTGGTATTTCCTTAATCTGAGCTCTTAGCCATAAGACTTAGTAAAACGATTCTCTTGTAATTGGAGAAAAATAAAGCAAAATGCATCATCTTATCACCACGAGCAGCACACGCTGCTGTGCTCCATGGAGGCTGGTAGCAAACGCCAGCTCAGCTGTCTTGCAAAATGGGGTCTGCGTGCCCCCCTCGCTCCTGCTGCCCCTTTTGTCCCGGTGCAATCCCCAGCTGCTCTGTACAGCACCAGTTACTGCTGAAAAAAAAACCCCAGAAGGGATTTCTGTACATGGAGAAAGCGTCTGCTGGGTACTTGGTATTTATTCTCTTGAATATCTGTTAAATTTGCTGTTTGATTGCAGAAAGTCCCCAGTTGCAACAAGGCAGCAGCCCCTGGGGACCCCAATGATAGCTCCCTCTTGTTCCCTGAAACTCTTCCAGAGGGCTGGGATGGTGCTCCCAGCAAACCTGATAACCTTGCTTTTCCACCCTTCCTCGTCTTTGCTTGGACAAAGCTTTGCCCTCTCACCCCTTATTCCTGTGGCTGGGACCGAGCTCGTGGAGCCCTGGGAGCTGCAGCATCGGCACCAGCTGCTCCAGGGGTTAAACTTATCACGTTGTTTTTCTCCTGCCCACATTGCTGGATTACGTGTAAAGCCATGAGTCTTTACAAGATAACAATTTTGCGCTGTGCTCCTGGCCCAGGGAGCCGGGACGGGCAGCCTCTGTGAGAAACACGTTGGCATCAGCCATCCTGAAAAGCTCTTTTTCCGTGCAAAGCTGCTGGCGTGGAGCAGCGGTCGAGGAGATCCTGTGCAGGGCACCCGTGCGGAGATCCCTTCATGGCGAGATGGGGCACCGGTGGGCACAGAGGTCTGGGGGGCAGCCACGGGGCCCAGGCTGCGGCACGCTCACAGCTCCCATTTGTTGCAGGTTCCTCATCCCCGGCTCGTCCCGGCACACCACTGGCCGCCTGCGGCACCCCTCCTCCACCACCACCCCCGCCCCCCTCCCGGCCT